GCGAACATACACCCATGGAACCAATCTAACACTGATATATATATATATATATATATATATATATATATATATATATATATATATAGCAAGAACTCACAAATTTGTGTTGGGGATAGGAAAAACCAGAGTTTTGCTGTTTTACAGAGACATACAATAGAAAATAAAAAGGGATGCGAAATAGCAATTTACCATCAATCAATAGATCTTGGTCGAGGATAAACTTTACGTAGTCTGTCATCTGAGTGTATCGTAGTCAGTGATTACGACAATACCGAAGCACGCCCTCCATAATTAATTACGATAGTGTAAATAATAATTCACGCTTCGTTTTGGTTGGTTACCAGGTGCAAGGTCAAAATTGTGAACGAGAATGGAGTTTATCGATAGTCAACATTTTTCTCTAAATGTAAAGAGTTTGCATAAGTAATTTTAACACTTAGCATAGTATAATAATGTTGTTGGCTAATAATAAACAGTATGAATCCCTTCTTCATTCGACTAAAAGCTATTAGATCCAAAAAAGATGCATATGAACGGTCAAATACAGTCAAACAACATTATATGACAGCAGTGTTTAACTGATCTACAAAATGTCAATAAAAAGTGGAACAAAGTAGTACTTCAATTTACTGGATACTACTCTTGGTTTGAAACTGTTCTTTTGAAACAGATATTACGGTGAATTGTTAATAAGTGATTATAAGAGCGGTTCAGTTCACTTAGTTATGTATTTAATTTTGTTATGCAAGTATACCTACAGTAATACACAGAAGAAATATTTCAGTATGGTGAAAACAATAGCAAAAACGTGAAGTATTCCTTTCCTTTGAGAAAGCTGAAGATATTTTACCTACGTCAACAAGTGGAGATTTACAAACGCATTTAGTTCATTTGTAAGATTTTTATTTAATCACGCTAAATTTCATTCGTTTATTCAGCACTTGTTAAAAAACAAATAAATATCATACTTCATAAACGTAAAATACAGTTCTTGGGATTCAGGTGATGATGTCATCTCTACTCATGACAATCAACATCAAACAAGTCTAAGAACTAATTCAAATTGTAAAACTGTACACTTTTGTAATTTGACTTGGATCGTATTATGCTTAATGTAAGAATCGTCGGCTTAGGAATCCTAGGTTTTATAGAAAACACTATCCCTTTATCATATTATGTAAGTTTATGATATAATCATTTCAATTACTCAAAAAATGTATTGTAATCAACTTTGTTACTTGATAAGAATTCTTTAACATAAAGATTACTTTGAATTATTGAAAATGATAACATGTATGTTCAAGAAACATGCAAAGAAGCTATTATATCTGTTTTTCGTAAAAAAAGGTATATATTCATTATCTGATTTATCACTCTTTTAACGGTAATTTAGATCAAAGGAAGATTACAATGAAATGAAAGTACCCACTTGAGATAGTGGACATTTGTAGCTCAGGTGGATGCTTTTGATGGAGTTTTGTTCTCTGAGATGGATGGTTTGGTTGTGGAGCTTTCATCGTTCTTCTGAATGACATCATCAGCACAAACTTCAGGTAGAAGTGAAGTGTTCGAATTTCTCCACATGTGGTTCACAGCTTGTCCTGTAGACCTCGATGAAAGCTCCACAACTAAACCATCCATCTCAGAAAACAAAACTCCATCAGAAAGGACCTGCTCGTGCATAAATTTACACTCACGAATATTTTTGAGTGTAATAAATCTTATGATATGATATGATGAAGGATATTGGTGGTTATTTTAATGATATCAATGTGAGTTTTAAAATTGATTATGAAGATGAACAATATTTTAATTTTACCTCATATGATTAAATTAATTCATGGTTTTCAGTCGCTTTATCAGTTTATTAAATCAATGTTACATGTGCTCTCATAGATTACATTATATACCGTTGTAAATTCAATTATTCAAACTAGGATTATGTAATGACACATTTTTATAGGATTATTAAACCATATGATATGTAACGTATATCTATAATTTTATGAATATAACTAATACTAATAACGATATTTATACAATGAATAAAACTAAGACAGTAATATTATGTAATACTGGTAAATGTTGAAAAGTAAATAGATACTCAACTAAGCACGCAATACATTTGTGTATTAATTTCGATACAAATGAAAAAGAAAATCAACATTGAACAGTGCATTCAGTGAAGCAAGAAGAACTTAGAATAGCTGCATTATTAACAGATGTACAACTACAGAGCATGTACAGATATATCTAGGAGTTAAAAGTTTTTATTTTATTTTTATTCTAAAAGAAAAAAAACTATATTATATTGCTTAAACTCGGAAAACACCATTCCCCTCATTAGTATGAGTGTTAATAAATGAACAAAGTAAACCGAATAAATATGATTGAACTGTATATTTTAGCATTGAAAAAAAGGCGTGCAAACAAGTGCATGAATGAAGCGAATCAAATAGATTTCAATGTGTTATTGGTGAAAAGAATGACAAGATAGTCAGTTAAATGTAAGTATAAAATGAAGAATCAGGTAAACTAAAAGAAATTTAATAACTAAGGATGAAGAATTTGCATGATTAATCCTATTAAGAAGTATAGGAAAAAAGTTTTAATCACTTGGCAGAGCAATTACCTTCATAAAAATCATCATTCATATAATGGGAAATTTTACAACGTAACGATGATGATGATGATGGATCGGGCATATTCAAATCACATGGCATACTAACACCAGATGTCATTGCTAAACAACCAAGAGAACTTAATGTACTACAAGTTCGAGGCGGTGGACATGGACGTGACATTCGAGGTGCTGTTTTTCGATTGATATGATATTGACTTATTGCTTGATGATGCTTTAAATGAACAGGTTTTGGCTGAATTGGAGGTGGTGATCTATTGTCAGCAGAAGGAGAAACTGAAGAATTGATTGGGCTACATGAAGTTTGTTGTACAAACAAACTATGGTTAGGAGGTGGATGATCATCATGATCAATCCCATTCCCAAGTATTTTTTCCACATTAGATTCGGAAGGACTAAGACAAGGTGAGTGTTTGTTGCGATTTTCTTCACCGACTAATTTTTTCTGAACATACAACTGTGGTGTAAAGAAATCTTGTTCACAGTTTACACTTACAACGGATTCAGAAATACTTTCATTGTTATGGTGATAACAACTAGTGAAAGAATTCTGTTCATTACATCTTGGTAACTCAGCAGCATTAGTAACACAGAAACAACTGTTAACTGATGAAACATGTTTTCGGGTTGATAAGGATCTTTGATGACTAGGTAATGTGCCAGTTGGTTGATTATGTAAACATTTTGAAAACATTCTATTTAGCGTCATAGTATTACGGTTATTAACTGATCGGTTAATATATATAAAATGGTTATTTTAATTAAAAACCATTTAATCAGTTAACAAAAAAAGAGGCAAACGCAATATAAGATGGGCAAAATCAATCCATTCACACCCATAGTGTATGGGGAAAACAAAAGAGCACAAACCCAGCGTAGATCGGAACAGAATGGAGAGGAGAGATAAGAAAACAAGACAAATGAAAATAAACAATAGTTATGTGGTGTAAAGAAAATAATTGTACATAATTTACATGTAAGAAGATTAATAGAAAATTGTATGACATGATCTTTACAAATTGATGTCAGTTGAATAAAATTTACTTAATTAAGGAAACAGAATTATCAGAACAGAGAGTTAAACAATATGTCTAACCTTAAATTGACAAATCATGTCAATTTCTCATATGTTATTCTCAAAACGAAGTATTAAGTTAATCTGTAGAAATTAGAACTTCTGTTAAAAAATATTGACATAGAATGTTCATTGAAAATTTGGGAATTGACAGAAAGATATTTTGTTGGATTTCTCTATTTATTAAGTTTAACGTAGTCATCAGTCTTCTGCAGATAGAACCTTTCACTATTAAGTTGATACTTCATTATAGGTCTATATTGCTTAGACATTGAATATGGCAGGGTATCATTAATATACACTAAAAAAAATATTACAACCAAGTATATTTATCTATAAAAAAGTTATGACACCACTCATCTTAATAATCATTTTACCCATGGGGATTCAGTAACAATAATATGATGCAGGACATTCAAGTTACGAAGTAACTGACAGAATACAATACTCAATGCTGTATTAAAATGAATCGAAAGATTCCATTTGCGAATTAGATTCAATCAATCCGTCAATTCAGAGAGGATAACCATTCAAAATAATCAGAGTTTACCTGGTTGTGTAAATGGACTACAAATATGTAGAATTTCAGCACGTTTTGTGATCAGTTTCTAACAACAACACGGCCAAAGCATAAACATAAGTTAAAATATTTTTGTTTTACAGAAGACTACATAAAAAGGACAATACAAATCTGGAAAGATTACATTGAACTCATGAACCGATTAATGTTAGATTACCATTAAAAACCTGGAAGTACTAGACGGCCGTTTCGCTCTAGTATGTAACTTCTCAACAGTGTGTATCCACAACCCCGGACACGGGACTCGAACTCACAATGTTCGGCCTCGCGCAAGAAGTCTTGAAATCTAGACCTCTGAGTTGGTATTCAATATTGTTAATGTTTAACTTCAGTCAATCCACGATATTGTGCGACAGTCTTCGATCGTTTTCAATCGGTAACTGCATCACAAATGACACGGATTAGCTCGACTGTGTTGTAAATAAATCTTGTTCACAGTTTTACATATAAAGGTTGTGTAATGTCGACTCAAATGTCTGGAGGTCAAGACTTCCCGCGCGAGACCGAACGTTGAGTTCGATTCCCGTGCCCGGGGTTGTGGACGCGTACTGCTGAGAAGTTACATACTAGTACGAAACGGCCGTCTAGTACTTCCAGGTTTTCAATGGTGATCTAACATTAATCGGTTCATGATCTCAATGAAATTCAACAATTTCCACGACCCCTAACTGACAAAAAAGTTAATTAGAACTAATTAATTTTACCTGGCATAACTTGATCAAGTTCATCCATTTCCATACTGAATGGATCTGTTCCACTTCTTTGATATGAATGTAACTCATTATTACCAGCAACAACTGAAGTAGAATTAGCAGTAGAAGTGGCATCAGACATTGAAACAGTATCCAGACAATTTTTTGAACTGTGACATGAATTAGATAGACTTGTACTATTAGCTAATTTGTCAACTTGAGTTTTTAATACTGTTGAAGGATTAGCATACTTTCTTTCTTCATCATGATAACTTTGACTGACAGCTGAATCACTTAAATCAAGTTTATTTAAACTATCTGAAGCAGACGAATTACAATTATTCGTATTACTAATATTAGTAGTATTCGGTGAAGCATTTGTTGTATAATGATATTGTTGTGGATTTGTAGAAATTGAATTACGACTTGATGATTGATGATGAACAAATTGTTGCTGACAATTGGTCATATCAGTTTTAGCATAACAAAGTCTATCTAATGTACTATCTATATTTTCATATGAATGAACAATTGGTAATTGTGACATAGAAAATTTACGTTGTGCTGCATGAGCCAATTGAATGAGATTTGTATAGACTGGAGGTGGTACAGCTTGTTTCGGGTAGAGTACAGTGGACGAATCAACACCACTATCTTTGGAAGAAGCTTTGCCAACTTAATTCATTTTTTTTAAAGAAAACAAAATAAAGAAATAAGAGTAGAAAATACGCACACAAACAACAACACGACAATTATATCTAGCAGTAATTGAAAGAAAAAAGTATAAATACACATTGAAGGATGAGTATAGACTGCAAACACTTAATGAGACAGGCGTAAACAAAGTAGAGTCTGTTTAAATTATTATACTTCACTATAAACATAGTAAGAATAGGAAATTAACAGGATGAGGGAAAAATTGAAATGATTCTTTGTTCTAGGGTTTAGAGAGAAAGATAAGGAAGGAATCCATCTATGTGCTACATTGTATCTAATAATTTTCAGCCATTTCACTTAATATCTCTCAAAGCAGAGTTGGATTATTTTACGGACTACAAATAGTAAGTTTGAAAACTATAACCTGATTCATATTAACTCTCAGTGACTGAATAGATTAGCACGGTGTGTTGATCTAGTCACCTTGAGTGTAATACAAACTAATTATTTAAATATAAGGGAGTGAAAATGTAAAAGAGGATAACGCAAAAGATGGTAGAATATCATACTAGTTCAATTTCAGTCAGTCTTAATCAACAAAGAATATGGTGAAATTGGGGAATATTCCAAGCTGTTGTACCGGATTAGCATGATGACGCGAAACTAACAAGGTGAATAGTAAAGGAATCAAAGTAATTTGTAGTAGTAATGATAATGAGAAAGACTGAACATTGAAAGTAAATTTCGAAGAGACAAAATGAAAAGTTATGGATGAAGGAATACTAGGACTCAAGATCTACAATGAGATAAACTTGACAGGTCTGAGTCAATAATCAAAACCCTACAGCCTTCAAATATTTTCTACTCCCATAGATCGTGTCCCGCAGTCGCAAACCGATACAGAAAGGACTGGTATATAGTATACTAACCCTTTTGTTTGCAGACAGACATCCCTCCTACAATGAAAGTGACGCGAATTGACGAAAGCCGAACGAGCTTTTTGAATCCGTATCGAGATTTCGTCGGATACCAACCCGTCAGGGCTTGAGACTTACAAGATATATGTAGTTGTCAACATACTCGATTACTTCACTCCCTATGATTATGAACAATCAAGACTAATTGAAGTAACATACAACTTATCCCCATTTGTAAGCCAATAATCCATTCAAATTTAGCCACTGGTTTTATATCATTCCTCATGAAGGCAACGAATACCAGCCAACCAGAAGTTTCTGAATTTTATACTGAAACTATGATTGAAACATCAGATTCATTGTTTACGAAGAATGATTATGATTGCAGGGTCAGCAAGTGAACAGTTCGCAAAGTGTTCAATTCATTACTCAACTTACCTGGTCTATGAATTTGGTTGTGATGACACTTAAATCTCAAAAGTATAAGTATACGTATGCCCGAACACCGATTACCACGACGCGCAATGCTAACCGGTGTTGGAGATGGTTGGAAAAAAGTTAGGGGCGGCCAAACCAAACCGTGGCATCAGTGCTTGAAATCACTAACCTCTAGTCTGAGCCATGTTGGTAGATGCAGACTACTTGGTTGGGGTCCGCGTGACTATCGTAACCAATGGTTGGAGACTCTTGGTGACATGGCTCAGAATCGATCACAATGGCATCGGTGTATACACTCTCTGTCTTCCCTTAAACTAAAGGATGAAAATCGCTTCATATCTTTCTTTGTACTAACTAATTCTTTCTTCCTGTACTATATCCTTATTGCTATCTTTCTTTTATATATTACCACCTCTGAATTAACTACTTTAATGAATCTGGTGTTCATCTTGTTGTGTTAATGAGGTATGGCAACTTGGACCGATGCATATATGTGCCTTGTCCCACGTTGTAGCTGACTGACTGACTGACTGAAGTATAAGGGCAGGATTTAAAAGTCGGGTTAGGGGTTCGAATGGCACTTCCGCTTAATATATACATATATATATATATATATATATATATATATATATATATATATATCATCACAAAGTTGTGTAACATTTCGAAAAGCTCGGAATAAGAAGTGTTTGTGTATTGCGTAAAACAACTTACCGGGTGGATTGAAAGACAGAGCAGTTATAGAAGCCCGCGCAGGGGCATGACCTCCTCGTTCATAAGCAGAACTTATTGTATGACGACCACTATTTGGAATTGGAGGATTACCAGTAGTACCAGCAGTGGTAGTAGTGGTAGTAGTAGTATTCGATGGATAGTTTTCCAATAGAAAATGTTGATTAGCAGAATTAGATAAGGAAGGAGATGTAGGATTATTTGATAAATACGCAAGAGCATTGCCAGAATCACTGCCTACTTCAACATACTCACCACCATCACCAACATCATCATCGTTACTATCATCATGATTCTCATCATCGTCATCATCATCATCAGTGCTCATTTCCAGTTTACTTTCATTGTCAGTCCTTTTTATATTTTCGACTCCATTATCATCATCTCTTTTTAGTGCATAGTCTTGACCATTTGTAGTGATATTATTATCATTATTATTACTATCAGTTAATTGAGATTGTGCACTGAAAGCAATCATAGATTTAGCTACCATATAAGAATCGATTTTATCATGATGAAAACCATTTTTCAAATAATTTTTTGGAAAATCATTATCTCCATTACTTGCAGCTCGATAGTGACCTGGTCGACATAAAGTTTTAAATTGTGATTCTCCCTAAAATTAAAAGATAGCACCCATAAAAATTAGTAGTAAAGCAATTAGCACAAGCGAATTTGTAGAGACTAGAATTTTCAAAGTTCAAATGAAAAACTCAGTTAGACCACAAATGAAAATCTAGAAGTAGCAGACAACCATTTCGTCCTAGCATGGGACTCCTCAACAGTGCATCACTAGTGAGCACTGCCGGATGCGAGACATTTATCCACCGTAGACAATGAATGAGGGCTGTGAAATATCGTGGATTGATTGGAGTTAGACACTAACACTGTTGGGTTCCGGCCGAGTAGTCTAGAGATCAGGTATTCGCGTGTGAGGTCGTGAATCCAAACTGCTAAGTCCCACACTGGGACGAAACGATCGTCCAGTGCTTCCAGGTTTTTGAGAGTGGTCTAGCTGGGATCGGTTCGTGATTTAAACTATCAAAATAATTAGTAATGAACTATTTAACGTTGAAAAGTAGACGATAACACATTGTTCACTGAAAGTGAACCAGTTAACTTTATTTCGTTCTAAAAGCACTTTCATGGAGGTATCCATATACAGTACAGTTACGATTAAAAGAGTAAAACAGATGATTTTGAATAATCTTACTGGTCTTCCAACTAATAAGTTATTCACCTTGATTGTTGATCACAAATAAAAAGTATTTTTCTCAATCTAAACATCTCTTATAGTGATACACTTCATTATATTGACCGAAATGGATCACTGAAATATCAGTGATTGGGAAAAAAATGAATTAGCTATTACTTTCAGTTGGATTGCTATGTAATTAACGAACAGATGTGTGCTTAACTATAGAGCTTAGCGACGATTGCTAAAGGCTAGTTGGGTTTTGATAGTTATTAAATAAACCAAAAACTGATTACAGCATGCAATTACGTCACTACGATTGCGATTAAACTAGTTTTCCATGACCATGTAGAAAAATCCTTTCAAATTTTATTGACAGCTAATATGAGTTTTTCCAGCTCTAACCAATATATTCTTCGCTTAGGCTCATTTGATAATTATTAGCAGCATTTTAAATAAATAGCATAATATGAGAAACTAAATAACGATATTAAAATAAAAATCGTCTTATATAATTTAGTAATTAGTTGATGATAATAAACAAAATAACTGTTTGATCCTAGGTTTCAAATATTTTATACTTCACTAAAATCACAAACCGATCAAATCTAGATAACGATTGAAAACTTGGGAGCAATGGACAGTCATTTCATCATAGTAAGAGAGTCCTAAGTAGCGCGCGTCCACTACTCTGCAGGAGGAAATCGAACTCAGAACCTTCGATCTTGTGTGCGAACGTTTAATCTCTAAACCAGTGAGTCCGGATTCTGTACTTAGTCCAGGTGAGTCATGATAGACAGTCAAAACAGATATGGACAGTCACATCGATATTTTAAAAATTCTTTCATTTTCATAATTTACCAACAAAAGAAGGTATAAACTCAAAAATATTTCTGTAGACTAATCAATGCTCGGTTTAGCAAAATCGTCAATGATTTTAATGAGAATCAGTAACTTCTGAAACAATCAACTACTGTATGATGATTGAAATACAGATAACTTTCTAGGATATATGTTGTCATATTATACATAAATACTGACTTTGATTATAAGACAAGATATATTACGGACAGCGCTGAAGATTCACTAAAACACAATAGATCATCTGGCCTTAGGTTACTCTTTAAATTAAAGTGAAAGATTGATATATCAATTTAAGATGAAATAGTCTTCAAAAATAATATTTATTGTTATAGGCATTACATGTGTGAACGCGTATTTTCTTTCATCTTATATACACAACAAAGAAAAACACAGATAATCGATCGTTTTTATGTGATCAAAAGCTATAAACACTAAATAATGGAGACAGGAATGCGAAAATCCATGGGAGATGAAATAACCATGTAGATTGGATTATAAAGGAACGTATATGCTTGTGTATTTCAGTCGTACAAGTGAATGCTAATATTACTGAACATAGATGTGAATAGCTAAGTGGAATGTCAACATATCCAAATCAACACACGGACACAGAGAGGTGAATATAAATGGACAAGGACGCGTGTGTGTGGTGGTGGTGGGGAAAATGAATATTCAGGTAGACAAAATAACATCCATTCATGAAGATACTTCGTGTTAGTGAACTGGAAAATGGTTGAAAAATGACGAGAACAATAATAAACATAGATGAGAACATTCTGCTAGAAAGAACATACACTTCAGAAAACAAAGTATAAACAAGCTACAAAATAGGTAGCTCGTTAATGTGGTTATTTAAGATGAGTACTTAAGTGGAAATTCACGGGAAAAGCTTTGAAAACACAAAGAGAAAAGTACACAAATAATAAAATAACTACTTTTTTCAGATGGAATTTTATTGGTTTTATACAACTTGGAGAACATTATCACCATGAATTGACATTAATTATAAAACCATTGACATTCATGGAACATTGGACAGTTGATTTATTTTAATTTGTGACTCTTCTGCAATGTGCACTTATGACCTAACGAACAAGACTGAACACAGAAACTTTAGGCCTTAAAGTGAAAATGATAGAATTCGAATTACGATAGAGTATGTGTTCAATGGCTCTTCAGCTCTCAAATAATGTCAGTTTGTAATGAAAATAGCTTCATAAAATAACTATTCATCATATCAGTTTCATAATTTAAGCTTATAAAACAAGCTATCATCAAAAATTACGTTTTAAAACGTCCCATATTAAACAACGTGAAAACACTGACGAGAAGAATGTGAATAAACTAAGTTAAATATGAAATATGAGACTTTCGTTTTTACTACTCATGTAGAAGTAGGAATGAATGTCAGCTGCCAGGAGGTCTGCACAAACGTTTGGGCTACCACTTTTGTAAACGTCCATTCATCACCAAAATTATGTTCCTGTTTTAGATCTGTTTCAATCAATTAATTAAAATTATCGACTACGTGTACATAGGCGGCTTCATAAAATGTACACATAACGAAAGAAATTTTATTGAAGAATTCGAGATGCACTACCAAAGTACTCTGTATATTTTCCTACTCCTGTTTTTGAAGAGACCAGACGCGATTACCATAGAATCTGTACATCAAATATATTCGGTGATGAGAAATACCATAAGAGCAAGAACGACCGTAAACAATTACGGATGCATCTCAGTGGCAGCTAATCACTGATTAAAGACTTATTGCTAAGGCGATCACAGAATTAGTAAGCTTTTGCTAAAAATGTTAGAATATTACTAGTAATGGTAACCATGATTGGCATTTTCTAATTCAGTTTATCTCATAGCTTTTGGCCTTTACCGATTGACTGTTACTACTTTTAGTTCGTTAATTCATTGTAGTTAAGGGTTGTACTTCCGTTACTATGGTTAGTGAGACGCACTATTTCATTTAGTTTTGTTCGAATTTCACGTTTTTTCCTACATCCCTTCGTGTTCTGGCGACTAATTGTCGAAGTATCGTATGCCAGAACCGTTTACAATAGGATACATCATTCGTTCCTGAATTGATAAGAAGTGTAGGAAATCCCAATATTAATCGTTTTATAAAGATCTAACATTTATACATATTTCTTGAATATTCACAAATGAAACGCTTATTAGATGAGAATCTTGTAGCGATTCCACATACTTTGTTCTGAGGATTCTTTACTTTAATTAAACATATGGTGGTGAATAAACCGAGTATTATTATTATCATATTGATGAAAGTATACTACACTGACGACCTTGAGAGGTTCGTCAGCCAATGAGTAAACGCGACATAGTTACAAAACAACAGACAATAACAACCAATAAAATAACAGTACAATAGCAGCTTGTTATCTCAATATTTTACCCTTACATGCCGAACCATTCTTTGTAGTAAAGGAAAAAGGTTAGTTTTACGTATTAGGAGTCGGGTAGTATTCTGAGTTTTCATCGTTATATAATATGGGTTATAATTTAGAAAGGTTTGAGTTAGGTATTAAGAGTAATGTTGGAGTTTTGAGTTGTGCTTACAAATGAAGGTTGGGATTTTCAACATGAACTGACATCAGTTATAATTCAATGAATTGTCACCCTTCTGCTTACAAACTTGGGAGACAAGGTTGAAATTTAGAGGAAGGGTTGGAAATGGAGCATATTATATAGATTTATCAAACACTTGACTATTCATTGAGTCATATTAAGCACTTTACCAACGATTTATCTTAGGAGCAGGTATGTTTTGATATGTAAGTTAAGCACCATCTTAAATCCTCATTTCGGTTGCGCAATGGATATTTTCAATGATTCCGAGAATTTTAAGGATTGATTATTGTCAATTTTCATTCAGTTACTATGATCATCCAAGTTACCCCACCTTAGATTTCGCGCGAAATACATGATGAGCTATCTTGATTCTGATTGGTCAACTCAAGGCCGTCAGTATATTATACTTTTACCACCGTCTAGTTAGCACATAAATGAGTACTGTCTAATTGGGAAATAATTTAATGACTTTAACAAGAAATAGTATTGTGAGTGCTGTTTAACTCCATAAATGTTATGTAGATTCTGAGAAGGATAAAATTTCCGATAGCGTGCACATGATAAACGAGAGACAGAAGAAAATTAAGATTGAATGAATGATTAAAAATTACAAACAAAAACATGAAACTTATTGAAACTGAAGAGCGATAATTACCTTCGTCCCGACGCTTATGGTAAAACCCAGAAATTACATCCTAAGCTATTATAACTTGTATAATTTAGTCCATAATGCAGCTGAGAAATGTACGACACATTGTCTACCTATTGTAGATTTTTATCAGTATGGAATAAGGCGTCAATCTTTCCCCGAGATCTTGAAGTTTATAGGATGTGAGTGGTTTTAACCAAGAGCTTTAAAATAATCATTTAATCACTGTAACCAAATTATTGAAAAGATTTTATATACTTAGTTTTAAGTGCGAAGGGGAACACGCAAATATCTGTCTGTCTATAAA